CACTCGCTGGTGCTCCTCTGTGTCTGCCCCGTGCCACAGAGCACGGAGGTGTTGCCGAGGCAGTTGTACTGCAGGTAGAGGTTCACGCCCTTGCACAGGCGCTGGATGTTGGCAAGCGACGCGTCGGTGGTGCCCGTGAGGAAGTTGGAGCTGGCAAAGACGTTCCGCACCGACTTCATGAGTTGCAGTGACGGCAGGCTCCCCACCAGCTGGTTGGATTGTAGATTGCTGCGGGACACGGGATGGGGAGGAGAGGCGCATGAGTGCGTGTGATGTGAGGTTCATTAACAACAGGTGACGGAAGAGTGGGGGCTACAAATATATTGCAGAAAATGAAACGGGTGGGGGAGGTGAGGTACAGGGTGGGCGGCATTGAGCGTGGCAATGAAGGCGAGGCTGCACTCACAGGTTTTTAAGACTGCTGAGAGCACTGAATGCGGCAGGTATTGTCCCTGAAAGGCGGTTGCCACCTAGGTCCCTGCAAGTGGGCGGCACAGCATGCTCTAGCCAGTGTTGTAATTTGGGTGACACGTCCAAGCTTTCACAGCAGTGGACCACACAGAGGGGCATATGCGTGTGGTGGTGGGTCGTGAGGTGGGGCGACTTGAGCAAGTGCCATTGTGACACAGACAGATTGCAGAGTGCGCACTGACAGGTCATCAATACTGCTGAGCCCGCTCAGTGCAGCAGGGATGGTCCCTCTAATGCGGTTGGACGACAGGTCCCTGCAGGTGGCCAAAAGAAGAGAAATCGATAAGGGCACAGTTAGGGTGCTTTAGGCGGAACATGCTTCAGTCAGTGGTGTTGTGGCTGTGACATGGCATACACGAGAGGGTGTTACAACCAAGCGCTCACTGCAAGGGGCACCGAGACCAAAGCCGTACATCTTCCACTTGCTTCCCTCTCATTTTACCTCTCTCGTTTCAATGCCTGCCCGCAGGCAGAGAGAAGTGGCAAGAGAGAGGGCGCACACACATGAAAGTGAGACGGCTGAGTCTGCCCAATGATGCAGGGATGATGCCGGCCAGTCTATTGCCGTGCAAGGTCCTGCCAAGTGGGACGGGATGGGATGGCGAATGATCATGCTTGTGTTTCGGTCTCCTGGTCTACAGTTGGAACATCTTGTGGTTGCGTTCTGAATGCTGTGTTCCTTTATTCCAAGAAAGGAGAAAGCAGTGGTGAGAATACAAAGCAGTGCCATGCACAACATAGTCTACCACCAACAGCAAAACCATTTTTTAGTCGACTCAAAAGCCGCCATTCCGTTGCGAAAGGCAAACTACCTCCCTCACTTGGCTTTAACTTGTCAACTGTAAAATGCAATGCTTCATATGGCACTGCGTCGTGCTCTTACATTCTGTCCAGGTTGGTGAGTAGCCCAAGTATCGAGGGAATGGGCCCTGACAGCCGATTCTCACTGAGTTCCCTGCAAGGTAATATGGCACAGAGCGGTATGGTTGGAGTGATTGGTGCACTGTGGTAGTGACGTACACAAACTGTGGCATAGTGCTGTCCAGTGGTGCACACATGAGTGGAGCATTGGGGAGGAAAAGAATGAGCATTGCGATACAATACATGGAGGGTGGGCTGCCCATGAATGCAATGGCCATCAGAGCACAGGTAGGGGGCGCTAGGCATCCCGTGGTGTCCCAGGCATGGGGTAACATGGCACGGCATGGAAGAGAGTGGGCGCACAGCGTGGAGAGACGCCTGAGTCGTGAAAAGGAGTTGGGGATGGTCCAGCTCAGGTTGTTGCGTGGCAAGTATCTGCCATGTGATGCCATGGGATGAACGCGATGGGATGGTTTGGAGTGCAAGGGGCGGAATGAGGGCGTCGCTCGCTTGCATCACAGTATTGTATTCCATGCCAGGCGCTTGCTCTGGCTTCTACCACTGCCTCGCTCACTGCAGCCACTGGGTGGCTGGCTGCCTCGGTGCAGACACTGGTTGGACTCTGTCCAGCGAGATCAGGCTGTGAAGGGACCCTTTCAACCACACGCAACACACGACGTAACATCACACAGACTTCAAGGTTCAGCACATGCTGCTGAGTGCGTGCGCGACTAGCGTGCTGCCTCAAGGCACCTTTCGATCGCCTACTGTGCTCTGTTTGAGAGCATGTGGGGCTGCATGGTGGGGAGCACAGCTGCTCGCAGCAGCAATGAGCGCATGGTCATGCGTGGGACACAGTGACACCTACCCAGTGCCTGCCCAGCGCCCAGCGCTGCTCAAGGTCAGGTGGCATCAGCATTTACCCGCCGCGTGCAGCACAGGGCAACCCATGACAGGACATGCCGTCAGAATGTGAGCGAGCTACAAGAACCCACCCCCTCGTGCTATTGGTACGTGGGAACCCAAGTACAGTGACGGGCAAAGGTTCTTAGCATGTGAACCGAAAGAAACATGCATGTGCACGCTCACCCACCGTCCTTGTACTTGTTGCATGTCGCCCTTACAGATTTTCCAGGTTGATGAGGTTGCCAAGTGAACTGGGGAGGGTGCCCCAAACGCCAGTGTAATAAAGGCCCCTGCAGTGTCATGTCATGTGGGAGTGTGCCACAGCATTGTCCGTTGTGACGGGGCAGTGTTGTGTTGTGATGCACGGAGGTGTGGACTATGCGAGAGGGGACAGGAGAGGGAATGCAGGCTTGCAGCAGTAGAGCGAGACAAACTGGGACATGGAAAGGCGCAGAGGATGAGAGGGAGAGAAGAAGAAGCGCTCATCGTTCAAGGGACCTAAAGTCAACCATCTATGGCAAGGCGGAGGCCTCACTGGCACACACCGGTGCGGAGCGAACATGCTCTCTCTCTCTCATGCATTAACCCCGTTCTCTCCCCGCTGCACCACCGTGCACTCACAGGTGGGTGAGGTTCACGAGCTGCCCGATGGCCTGTGGAATGGAGCCCCTGATGCGGCTGTGGGCAATGGATCTGGTGCTCCGCGCATGGCCATGGGGCATGGGGCATGGCGCAGGGGGCAGGGGGCAGAGGGCAGGGGGCAGAGGGCATGGGGCAGAGGGCATGGGGCAGGGTTTAGGGGGTATGGGGCAGGGGGTAGGGGGTATGGAGCAGCGGAGGCGCAGAGACGTGCAGTGCAGTGCAGACATGGCAGTGGTGGGGATGAGAAGCAGTGCGATGCTTGGTGTTGCTGACAGGTGAGTGTAAGGCAAGCACGATACAAGGCATGCTGGATAACAAGTGCAGTGAAGCAATGCATGGCAGGGCAGGGCAGAAGGTGAGGCAGCACAGCACAGCACAGCAGGGTACGCACAGGGATCTCAAGCTGGACATGCTGCCTATCCATGCTGGCAGCCCATCAATCCACCCCAAATCTGTCATTGACCTGGTGCCGTGTTTGGGAAGGGCAGCAGCAGGGGAGCGAGGGATTTAGCAAGAGAGGCAGTAGCAACCATGCCAATGGGCAGCACTCCAGGCAACGCGACTCTCATAGGCACGCTCACTGTTTCGTATGGCTGCGCTGTTGTGTGCTGAGCACAGCACACAGCACCCAGAGCGCCATGCGCATCATGTGCTCAGAATAAGAAAAAAGGCAATCAGGATAAGGATGCCCGTGTAACAATCACATGAGCGATGCAGAAACATAGAAAATTCCAAGTGAGGTGTGCGGACTCTGGACTGGGGTGGAGTGGTGAGAGTGAGAGAGGCGGTGCAGTGCAGTGCAGTGCAGTGCAGTGCAGTGCAGTGCAGTGCAGTGCTGTGCTGTGCTGTGCTGTGCTGTGCTGTGCTGTGCTGTGCGGTGCTGTGCTGTGCGGTGCTGTGCGGTGCTGTGCTGTGCGGTGCTGTGCGGTGCTGTGCGGTGCTGTGCTGTGCTGTGCTGTGCGGTGCTGTGCTGTGCTGTGCTGTGCGGTGCTGTGCTGTGCTGTGCTGTGCGGTGCTGTGCTGTGCTGTGCTGTGCTGTGCGGTGCTGTGCTGTGCTGTGCTGTGCGGTGCTGTGCTGTGCTGTGCTGTGCTGTGCATGCACTCACAACTCAGTGAGCTTCTTGAGCCGTGACAATGCGGACGGTAGAGGCCCGTTGACGAAGCAGTACACACAGCTCCTGCACCCCACCCCACCCCACGGCACCCAACTTGCCTTAGTGTGCGAGGAGTGGCAGGATTATGGTGATAATTCTAAACAGGGACATGTGGGAGACGATGGAGGGCTGAAGAGCGAACCAGGGTGGGCTCATCTCATGCTGGAGTGCACGGGAGGGCACGGCAAGTATTGTATATGTGTGCATGCCGTTCATCCACTTGCCTCGCGCTCCTTTTCTCCCCACTCTGCGCCCTCGACTCACAGCATTTGAAGGTTGCCAATATCGCCCAGCAATGGCGGAATGGCCGGCTCGAATCCATTTGCCCCCATCGACCTGATGCGCACACACACGAGACAGCACGGGGAAGTATGGGAGCGGGGAGGGTAGCTTTGGAATAAAGAATGGCACGAGAGAGAAGCCGCGCAGCAGGATGGTCATACTTCCAAGAAAGCAGCTTGTGTGAGAGCAGGGAGAGTTGAACTTTCTCATGAGGTGTTACGAAGGGCGGAGAGTGGGTGAGGGCACGCACAGGTGCTTGAGCGCAGTGAGGGTGGTGAGCACGGTGGGCAGTCCATCCAGGCCGTTCGCATTAATGTGCCTGCACGGCAGGCAGGCGCGCACACAGTGCAAGGGGGGCAGGGGAAGGCGAGATCTTGAGTGGCATGCATGGACGAGCAGTGAGGGGCGGGGCATGAGTCCAAGAGGCGAACCTGGCGCCAGCATGTGTGCAACCTGTGCGCGCGTCCCCACTCCCAACGACCCACCCACTCTCGTGCCTCATCATCATCATTGCATGCTTGCCACGGTCCAACCAGCCCATCATGCGCCCATCTGCCCGTCCCGCGCCCTCGCCACCTCACTCTCCCGCCCACCCACCCATGCGCGCACTGCAACAATCTGCCCGTGTGCGTGCGAGGCACTCACAGAGCAGTGAGGTGCTGGAGGGCGCTGAAGCCGTCCGGCAGCGGCCCCCACAGCGAGTTGTAGCTCAGGTCGCTGGCGCACCCACCACACGGCACGCAGGCAGCACGCAAGAGATGCAGCAGAGAGCATGAGCGATGTGGTAGGCAAGGGGTGCAGAGGGGACAGAAAGGGTTACATGCGCGGAGTCGAAAGCGAGTGGCAGCCCATCAAACAGGTCAACATAAGTGGCGGTGAGTGAACTTGCCAAGGACGCGAGCTTGCCTAACCTAAACTGACTCAGGGAAGGGGACGGAGGAGGGAGATGCAGAGGAGAGAATGGTAGAGAGAGTGGGGGATATGGGGAGAGGGAGCGAGTGAGAAAGTGATCGGAAGAGAGGGACGGGGGAGCGAGAGCTTACAGGTGCCTGAGCGAGGTGATCCGGCCGAGATCATCTGTCATGTTGTAGTCACTAAAGAAGTTGCCGGCGAGTATCCTGGTGACAGGCACACGGATTGGGCGATGCAGGGTGTGTGAGGTGCAGGTGCGCGGTGCATGACTGGCGTGTGTGACGTGCGGAATCAAAACAGACGCCATGGCATGGCAGGGCACGAAGCGCAGGGCATGGCATGGCATGGCATGTCGTGTAATTGGGACTGAAAGGACAAGAGGGTTGGTAGGTTGAGACGGATGGCAGGGAGGAACTGCGAAGAAGGGAAGGCGAATAGGAAGCTGGCTGGCTGGCTGACTGGCTGGCTGACTGGCTGACTGACTGGGGCTAACGCATTGCAACGGTGGTGCGCTGTGGAAGGGCGGTGGCGGTGGTGACTCACAAGGTTTCAAGAGGACTTGAGATGTTCCGACTGATGAACGACGACAAGGACACGGATATGCGACAGCCCGTCAGATTCCTGCTCACATGCATGCAGCGCGCAGTCATTCATGAGCACAGCACGTGCACGCATACCAACATCACATGGCACGTCAGTGCAATCATATCATATCCATGGCCACGAATCAATGCGCACCCTCCATGCCATGAAGCAGTGAAGGCGTGAAGGGGCAATGGCGGCTGTTACAAGGCGCACAGTAGGGAGGGTGACGCATTGTCACAGTATGGAGGGCAGGGCGAAATGGAGAGCAGGGCGAAATGGAGAGCAGGGCGAAATGGAGAGCAGGGCGAAATGGAGAGCAGGGCGGCAGAGAGAGGAGGGGGCAGCGGATGCCTCACAGGTGCTTGAGGATGGGCATGGTGAGGATGGCAGGTGGAACGCCTTTCTCGAGGGTGCTGGATGTGATGCTCCTGCGCACACATACACACACGCGGGTGACGTGCATGCGGGGGACAGGAGGCGCACAGAGGTAGCATTGGGATAACAGAGAAGGGAGTTGAGTTGAGGAACGTTGAGAGGTGAAGGAACGTGCGCGGTTGGATGTGCGCAGTGGAATAAAGTGCGCACTTGACGCGCGAGACCACACGCATTGCTAACCCCTTCACACACCACCACCAATTCCCACCCAGCATTGCATTGCATGGAACACCACACCCCGCCATACCACACCCCGCCATACCACACCCTGCCATACCACACCCCGCCACAGCACACCACACCATACCCATGCGGGGCATGCAAGGCGCAGGGCACTCACAGCGACGTGAGGTGGTCCAGCTGCGTAATGCTCGCGGGAACGGTGCTCACGCCCTGCACATCACTGCGAGGGGCACGCATGGGCGCAACAGGTGAGCGGCTGGCAGCTCGGGGGCATAAGCGGGCGAGTACGGTGTGTTGTGTTTGGCCGTGCGCGATGGGATGTACCCACGGCCACGGCATCTGGCGTGGCGTGCGATGCCATGGAGGCATGCATGCATGCATGGAACATGGCGTGCTCAGCTGCTCACATGGCCACGGCGTGCCCCTGCGCGTCGCAGAGCAGGCCCGCCATGGTGTCGCAGTCCCTGCCGCGCACCCACGTCTTGCACGCCGCGGTCCTGTTCCACGCCACCGCCAGTTCCGCCACCACGCCCACTGCCATGCCATCCACCATGCCGTCCACCATGCCATCCACCATGCCATCCACCATGCCATGCCCACCACAAGGCGCTTGCAATGCCACGCCATGCCATGCCATGCCATGCCATGCCATGCCATGCCATGCCATGCCATGCCATGCCATGCCACGCCACGCCATGCCATGCCACGCCATGCCATGCCACGCCACGCCATGCCATGCCATGCCATGCCATGCCATGCCATGCCATGCCATGCCATGCCATGCCATGCCATGTCACACATTCCATCGACGTGTGGGGAACAATCAGTGCTTTGATCAGATGTGCAATGTGACAGCCGCGCAGGAGATAGGGCTTGGGCAAATGAAGCACGGTCGGTCACCATCACGCCACCAATCGCAAACGCCATTGCAACCCGCGCCTCCCCACTGCCAGCACGGCTTACTGTCAGTGTCGAGCACGGGTGCAGCCCGCGCGAGAGGGATGCAGCAGCGCGCCACCACCAGCGCCACCACCGCCGCCCTCGCCACCGCCATCGCCCGCACGCGCATCGCCTGTGCCGTGCGCAACGCAACAGACGTGTGCGAGCCCAGGCGGGCGGAGGATATCATCGGCGCATCATGCCGCGGCGGGAGCCGTGCACGGGAGACCTCCGCGTTGCGCGGCCTCCCCCAAGGAGACGGTGGTGCCATCTAGTACTACTGGGTTCTCAGTGGAACTACGAGCTCGACCAAGTGGACACAGATGCTTCCAAGCGAACGCTGACCGCGACAGTATACAACGAGATGCTCGGCGAATCAATCCGGAATGTTCAACGGAAAAATGACTCGTCTCGCGGCTCCTAACTAACACACCCATCGTCGGGACTTGCGCCTGACTGCTCTCCATGTTGTGCCTGTCTAGGGGGGTCGAGAACTCGCGTGGGGAAGGTGTCATTTGCCGTGCCTCGCTGGCAGGTCGTTGATATTGCCCGCCAGCGCAGCAATGGAGTGTGAGCTCGTGCGACCTGCCATGACCTGATGGTCTCCCTTCCCACCAACTCAGAATTCCTGATGCTACTAAGGTGGACCTGGTTTGACTGGCTGGTTGGTCGGAGCTGCAACAAGTCAGCGCGCTCCAGTTCGCAAAACCGTGAACGTCCCCCGCCTCGCTGCTTGTTCGTGATTTTGTGAGGTTTATCGTAATTTTGTGAGGTTTATATATTGATCGTAATCAATGTACAAAGAATAATACCATACATCTATCTAGAAACATGGCCGAGATGGCCAGCATCCTATAAGGAGCACGTGGAACACACGTTATTTCTTTGTCCTAATGGACAACCGCCAGCAGACTGGGGAGACGCTCTATGCGGTAGCTGTCTACGGGGGTCGGAACGGGTTGCCCAGAAGCCATGAAAATCTGAGGTCGGGGTGAATGGAGGGTGTGCCACTCCGGTCGAAGAGGAGGAAGCGGCGTTTCTGTGCTCGCTTTATGCTGGAAGATGTGCGTTGACGCTTCTTAGTAGATTGGCGTCTGCTTCTCCAGATATAAATCTTGAAGGCGATTAAGAATTGGGCTAATATCAGCTGCAATATCTCGAAGCTCGAGGAGGAGTCAGGCCTCTGGTTAACAGGGTGATTCACCCTTATGACCCTTAATATAAGCCTGGGTTTAACTAAGCACCCTTTCTTTTAAGAGTGGTCATTTTTCTAACCCTTACAAGAAAAAGTGTTTGGTTATATTACACTGATTTTTCAGAGCTGTATGGTGTAGTAACACTGATGATATTGAGTTAGATCTATCGTATTATTGTAAGATTACCCGCGTAAAACGTCACGCATGCTCTCATCGATATCGAACTTGGGTCATACACGCAGATTCCTCAATGCAACTCACTGCAACACCAACTACCGTAATACCCCGGATATAAGACCCGGGGGTATTATAAGAATCCCACCCCAAAAATGGGGGAGGGTCTTAACAGTTGGCTACATTTTATAAGACTCGGGTCTTATCATAAGGTCATCTATACTACTTGTGCTTTGGAAGCCATGCATGTCAACACTATGTGCTTCGTTTTTAGCATTCAAAGGGAATACACGCAATGAAATTCGTTTTTAGCATTCAAAATCAATGCACGAAATTGACTTGATGATGAGTATATGTGCCTTTCTGACTGGCTGTTACCCCCCATTAATGAAAATTTTATAGGATCTGGTGTGGAAAGGGGCAGAAAAGCTATCAGAATTGCATTCATTGCCTATAAAACGACCAATTCTCTAGGGGGAGGGGGGTCTTATAATGTTAGCCCCCATTTAGGGGGTATAACAAAAACGACCTATTTAGCGTACCCCCCTCCGTATTATAGACCCGGGGGTCTACAACTGGAGGGGGTCTTATATCCGGGTATTACGGTACTTGATCAGTTGGAAAACTTGAATTACTAGGGAAAAAAAAAAAAAACATATTTTTGCACCCTTACTAGAAAGAATAGTTTTTGTGATGCACCATTACAGAAAAAGTGAAAGCGGGGTGTTGGCCATACGCAAAAGAGTAAGGTCTGGGAGGAGTTGTGGTACTTGTGGGCGCAGCGTGCATTCCACAGGGTCTTAACTGCGGCTCCCACTAGAAGGCTCCATGGGGGGGACTGTCCCACCCGTGACTGTATCGGGAAGAAAATATGCTCGGCGGTGGTAGTCTGTCCAAGGTGGCGGTCGGCGACTGTGCGGAGGGCCGAGATAACTTTTATGGCGGAAGAACATTCGAAGAAGATATGTCGCAGTGTCTCGACGACGGCAGCGGGACACCGAGGGCAGATCCCCCGATCGTCAAAGTATTGGAAGCGTGACCCTGAGGGTAGGGTTAGCGTGTAAAATCTGAAAAGGATATCTCGCTGGCGGCTCGGCTGGTCCCTGAGAAATGGGTGCTTAAGGCCGGGGAGAGGAGGAGGAGGAAGGGTGAGGTCGCGGATCCAGCGGAGGTGGTGGGTTAGTGGTTGTGCTGAGTAGAGGAGGCGGCGATGCTGGGGATGCCGTCCTGTAGCAGTCCTATCCTAGCCCCTAACCCAAC